CTGACAACAAGGCCATGATCCTCCTGTGTCGAGAGCCTCGACTGGAGAGCAGAGTGAAGCATATTGACGTGAGGTACTTCCTCCTGCGAGAGCTGCAGCGACGCGGTCAGGCACGCCTGGACTTTGTGGCCTCAGAGGCCAACACTGCAGACGTCTTCACCAAGGCCTTGGCGCTTGGTGACCACCACAGGTTCTGTGTGCAGTTGGGGCTTGTTGAGGTAGGCCCTCGGTTGGTGTAGTCCTGTTGCTTGCTCTGCTTGTTGTGCTTTGTATTTATATCCTAGTGAACTCTTGAACTGGCCTTGTGGCCGCTTGCTTGCGCTCGGAATTTGTGTGGTGTCCTTGAGATCCACCCTGAGCTTGCCTTGGTTCTTGCTTTGACTGGTCTTGTGACCGTTTGTTCACCTTGCTTGCTTTGATGCCCCTCACTTAGCCTATGGGGGTGTGTCAAATATTGAACATTGATATGATAGGCTATAATGAGTTGCACTCTAGGGGGTACAGCTTCTAGGGTTGCTCATTTGTACCCCATTCGTTTCTATTCCAATCATTCCGTTGTTCGCTAACTTTGAGATCTGACGGGTACCATCGAGCCACGTAGGTGACTTTTGACGTCAGCGGGCTCAATGTTGGTTACCCAGAATGTAATTACCCAATACCAAATGACATACGCTCCCACGTGTTTCTACTGGTTACAGCATTCTGCAATTTTCTTTACGTGGCGCATGTTGATTCCACGACTGCTCCAGCAGTGGGACAGAATGTACCCACTCAGACACCTCGGTTGAAAGCATCAGCTTTTTGCCACGTGGATGAGCAAGAATTACAGAGATGGTCAGAACGAAACCAGGCAGGGAACCTGAGAACTAACGGGTGTCATTCTATTGTAAGCATTACTGTTCTCAACATAGGACAATGTGTAGAACTTATTGAGCATCAACAGAAAGTAAATACACAAGACGAGGTAGAGTGCGTTTAAATATGTTGAAGTGAAAGAAAAAGCTTACGCAATTCAGTAGTTTTATCGAGTTACTAAAGTATTATCATAGTATTATCTTGTGGCACGTGTCCATTCACGAGTATACCGTAACAGGTAGTAGCGCAAATAATCTCGTGGGCCGTGGCTATTCAAGCTACACTACAGTAGAAATACCGTTCACGTGACGACTCGGTAAACGACTCGGTTAGTGAGCATGTACATTACAAATTGGTACCTTTCTAAAGATTTCTTATATCTTTTCTCTAATATCAATTTTTGTTCTCACAATTACCAGCACAAAAGTTCCTACTTCCCGCTGCAATATTTTACTAAGACAAGTTTCCACAAAGATCGGCTCTACTCAATAGAATGATGCCTATACCATAGGATCTAGTCAACCAAAATATGTCAGAACTTGGGGAAAAGTCGTATTGTTTTGTATGCAAACACTAACTTGGTAACATGCTACGGTAAGAATCACAAACACATTCAACAACAAAAGAATAATCATGTAGCTCAAACTATGCACGTACTTCAAAACAAATAAATAAGGCAAGGAGCCTGTACACTTCAACGCCTCGATTGCATATTGCTCGGGTTGTCCTCCTCCACCCTGACTCATTTCACCCCGCGATGCCTGACCCGTCCGCCTGGTTGAGCCAAGCCAGTGCCATGGCAGCAGTCCAGGAAAAATGGCTGCCTCCAGCGCCCTGCCCTGTGATGGGGTCGTAGTACTCATACAGCCCGTGCTCGTTCATCAACCGCCGAGTGCTCGCCTCCACTCTCACCGCTAGATCCTCGTAGCCGTAGAACCTCAGCCCGTCCGTCACCATGTAGTTGACGATTGCCCACACTGGTCCCCGCCAGTACCTCAGCTTGTCGAAACGCGCGTCGGCGGGGTCCAGGCTCGGCACGCCGTACTCCACTTGATCCAGCCACGTAGACAAAGTTCCTGCCAGTGTCTCCGCCTGTTCGGGTGTTGCCACGCGAGCAAACAGCGGCAAAAAGCCTGCTGACGTGGCGGCATCGAGGAACTCCCCTGTGAGCTGGTCGCGGCAGCGGAAGATGCCACTCGACTCGTCCCAAAGCGACGGGAAAGCCGCAGCAGAGCGTTGCAGCCACTGGTCGATTTCCATGGCGTCGTCTGTGCGCCCCAGGGTGACAGCGAGCCAGCGGAGGTCGAGGTTGGCGCGGTGGAGGAGAGAGTTGGTGCACACGTCGGTCACTCGGAAGGGCGACAGGTAGTAGAGCTGGTGAGGGTCGTAGTCCACGGCGCGGAAGCGGTACAGCAGCGTGAGGTAGCGGTCGTACTCCGCCTGGGTGGGACGCATGGACGCGTCCACGTGGCCCAAGTCCCTGCGCGTGTACGCGGGGATGTCGTCCACAGGCACGTTTCGCAGAGGCACGTCCCAAGCGACGCTGTTGTCCATGCCCGACTCCCACGGGTGCAGCGTCGCCACCAACCCCATGTCTAGCGGGTCCCGCGCCATGTGGAACCACCGGTGGTACGCCATCAGCTTCGGAAACAGCTCCTCCGCCTGCTGCCAGCTGTAGCTGCTACGATCGTCCGCCAGGCTGCCACCGTTCCACGCCACACCGCCAGCAACGTCTCCCCCCATGCTTCGTTCCATCAATTGCCGAACCGCCGTCGCCGCAATCGGTGGCTGGGTAATGCCGGTGCTGTTCCGCGGGCTCTCCGCCGTGCCCCAGATTTCGGGGCCGGGGAAGTACGTGGGGCTGGGCTGGTGGAACACGATGTGCGGCACCATGCCGTCCGCCCATTGCGCGGAAAACAGCCGCCGCATCTCTTCCCACGCGCGCTCGTGGTCCACGGCGGACCAGCCGATGGCCACGAGTCCCGAGTCCCAGTTCCACTGGTACGGGTACAGCCCCTTGGCCGGGATAGTGTACCCTCCGCGGTCGTTTCCTCGAAGGGTCTCTTCCGCCTCCAGCACCACCTCCGCGCGGAGCCCGCGAGCGAGCCGTTGCACATCTTTGGTGGGAATGTCAAACGACTCCAATGGCGGACGAGTTGTGAGCGCTGGCGCAGTAGCAACAGCGTCTATTTGGAGCAGGTTGTCCGTAGATACTCGTCGGAGAAGAGGGACGGATGGGCTGCTTGGTGGGAGGAGGGACGAGGACGACGCGGAAGACGTGAGCAATTGCGATCCGCCTTGTGGCCAGTCGAGCGACATCGGTGGAAGAGCGTTGATGCTCACAGAACGATCCATCGCTTGCAAAGTCAAGGCTTCAGCGTTCGCCATGGCCTCGGATGCGGGTGCACTGAGGAACGTGGCAGCCTGTGGGGCAGCAGCTTCCTGAGTAGATGCTTGGAGGACTACACTGACAGGAGCTGGAGGTGTCGAGATCACGTGAGAAGCCATAATTGATGCTACGTCCATGGTGAGAGCTGACGACGATATTAACGAACTGGGATGGATGGAGAAGCAAAGCAGCGGCGAAATGAGAGTGAAGAACAAGCCGAACAAAGTTGGCAATAAGTAGGCTTCGAGCTTGGTGAGAAGGGAAGTATCACAGGCGAAGCACGATCTGACCAGTGAAGTGCAGAGGAATTTGAATTTGGGCAGAGCCACGAGCTCAAATCCATTTCCGCCGACTCGATCAGATGCATTCAGCGATCGCGCGCCAAGCCGCAGATACTTGCCCACAACACCCACCAGCAATGCCCAATCGCCAATCGTGAAAAAACACAGCACCTAGAGTGGCGTTTGTGGACAAGCGCTGCGGCGCGGCGGCTGCTAATTTCGTAGCCGTCAGCTTGCGTCAAATACCACGTGGCACTGCCATCGCAAGTCGCGAAATGACCACTTTCGTACGTCAGCAGGTTGAACTCAATTTTTGGCCAAGGGTAAGACCGAAATGAAGGGGTCGCCACGTCATGAGGCGTGGTGTCAGTCAGCAAAACGGCGCGCTCCTACCAACCGAAATACGCTCAATAAATCAGCCCGGTTGTTCTCATGCGAACCATGGACTTACATGGTATTTATGATGCAAACTCAACGTATATGATAGGTGCGAAAAAAATAATAATTATGTCCAATAATTTTATACAGAAGAAACGCCAGAATCTAAAGGCACATTAAACATCATAAGAACATATAATGCACTTTAGTAAACTCTCCAGCAGATAAACAATTATGTTACTAAATCTACATAATCCCATATAATATGTGTAATAATGCTGTTAAATTCCTGAAAGAGGGTCCAATCCCGATTTTTCTATACGCCTGACACAGTCACACTTTGCTTACGTGAGTATGACGAGGCCCTTTGACCCAACCAGCAGCAAAGCGCGTTGACTCCGTTGGCCAGAGTGAGATGTGCGCACAGAAGGACCGCTCTGCGATCACGGACGTGTCAATGTTGGTGCCTCAGCTGCATTGCCGTCATCATGCCGCGCCTCGGCTCCTCGTCACGCTTATAGCCTCCTTCCACGCCATCACCTTTTGGCGGGAGGCAATGCACGAAAGGAGATAGGGAGGGCAAAGTATGTGTGAGTATCCGCGGCGCGATGGAGGGCGGTGTGAGATGACCTGAATGGTTGCGCGGCGCATCATGCCACACCCACACCAATGTGCTTGATGGCATTGCAAGGACCACAATTGATCCAGAGCGCTGATCCATAGTTGCAGTCTAGTTTGGTCGCTTCAAAACCCATCGATACAAGACAGTGTGTCCGACCATTCGCTGAAGTCCCCGCCCCACCCGAAGTTAGGAGACAGTAGTCAGTGGCGAATAACACGGTGGTTTGGATGCGTAGCATTCAAAGACCACGATCCACCATCTGATTGGATGCCCCTTCTTGCCGTTCCTTTCGCGCAATCACTGAACGTCCAGAACAAAAGCGATGACCTAGGGAGTCAAGTAGTCATTGCTGCATCGAGAGAGTTTAGGGTTATCCTCGCACAATGTGTTCGAATAGTTAGAGCCAGCTGAAAGTAGGCGATTTACCAAAGAGGAGGAATCAGCCTTGTCGTTAGCCGGGCTCCTCTGGCCCAGCATGGCCAGGGCTCCGGCCCTCTCTAATTCCCACCACACCTCGCCGTTAACCATGTCGTCGTTTCTCGTCATTACCCTCTTAATCGTCGCACCGCTCGCGTGCGTGGCCGTCACGCGCCCGTCGGACATAGAGGCCCTCGTCGCGTTTAAAAAGGATCTCAAAGATCCCGCGCCGCTCAAGTGGCCCGAATCGGGCGATCCGTGCGAAGACGGCTGGGAGCACCTTTCGTGCAGCCGCGACCCATCGTCCGACTACCACGTCATCTCCAGCCTGCTATTGCCGCAACTCGCCCTCGGCGGCAAGCTCGCGCCGGCCATCGCGAACCTGACGGACCTGCGCGCCGTGTTTCTGGGCGACAACGGCTTCACGGGGCCGGTCCCGGCGGAGCTGGGGCGGTTGGAGAAGATGGAGAAGATAGGGCTAGATCACAACCTGTTAACGTCTATCCCTGTTAACCTGTTCGAGAATATGACGAACCTGCAGGCCGTCTACCTGCTGGCGAACGACTTCCAGGGCCAGCCCATGCCGGACTTTTCCAAAAACACCGCCCTCGAGGTCATCGAGCTCACCGAGTGTGCCTTCTCCGGTCCCCTGCCTGCGTACCTCGGCGGCTTGGCTGCGCTGGTGAACCTCAGTCTGGCGCACAACCAGTTCGCCGGCGAGATCCCCCCCCGCATGTTCGGCGCGGGCCAGGCGAGTCTGCAGTCCGTGCGGCTGAACAACAACCAGATCAAGGGGCCCATCCCCGACGGTCTCGGACAGGTGCCGCTGCTCTCGGAGCTCTGGCTGCACGGTAACCTGCTCTCGGGCGCCATTCCCGACTCGCTGGGCGGGCCGCTGTCGCTGCTGCAGTCGGTGAAGCTGTACGAGAACCAGCTGACGGGCATGGTGCCCAAGTCCCTGGGCGACACGCCCAACCTGCGCGACCTGGAGGTGCAGAAGAACCAGCTAGTGGGGCCCATCTGGCGCTTCATGAAGCAATTCGGCAACAAGAGCTACAGCCCCAACGGCTTCTGCGGAGCCAAACCCGGTGACAAGTGTCCGCGGGAGACGATGGCGCTCCTGGAGTTGCTCAAGGCTGTTCAGTACCCGCCCGTGCTCGTCGCGTCGTGGAAGGGGGCGTCGCCGTGCGGCGCCGCTGACCAGGCGTTGTCGTGGGTGGGTGTGGGGTGCTCGGCGCGCGGCAAGGTGCGCAGCATAACGCTGGCCAGGCAGGGTCTCAACGGCACGCTCTCGCCGTCGCTGGGGAGGCTCCTATCGCTTGAGATGCTGCAGGTGCCCGGCAACAACCTCACTGGACCCGTGCCGCCCGAGCTCGCCACGCTGCCCACGCTCAAAGCCGTCAACCTCGCAAACAACAGCTTCACGGGCGATCTGCCCCAGTTCGCGCCGGGAGTCACGGTTCTCTCCACGGGCAACCAGTTCACTGTTGCCGAACCGCCCGCGGCGCCGCCATCCGAGCCGCCAGTCGTGCCGCCTACCGCGCCTCCCTCTCTGCCTTCAGTGCCGAAGCCTCCCGTTGTGGTGCCGCCCGTAGTAGTGGTGCCCAAGCCTAAGGTGCAGCCGCCAGTGGTCGTTCCGAAGCCCAAGGTGCCACCCGTCGTCGTCAAGACTTCTCCGCGCAAGCCGCACGTGCCGCGCCGGCCGCACAAGCCTAAGAGTCCTGTGGTGTCGCCCCCCGTTAATGTCACTCGGCCCACCACGCCGCTGAAGCCTGTTCCTCCGACACCTAGCACACCCCCAGGTACAGCCTTTCCGCACTCAGTTGCTTGCTTTCCCAGAGGCGCTCATTCGTGACGTGTCGCCTCACCTCGTCTCTGTCGTGCACTGTGGTTTCTGTTTCCGCTCACCATGCCTCTTCCCCATCCCCGTTCCCCAAACCCCCTTCCCCGTTCCCCGCAGCGACCGTGCCAGCGAATGTGACCGCACCGGCGTCACTCCCTTCAACGCCTCCGCCTCAAGCGCCAGTTCAAAACGTTAGCGCGATTGCCGGGGGTGGCAGCGCCGCAAGCAGCGCCAGCAGCGGCAGCAGCGCGGCACCAGCGAGCAGCGAGAGCGGCGGCAGCTCCGTGCCGATAGCGGCGATCGTGGTCCCCGTGGCGCTGCTGTGCTGCTTTGCCCTCGCGCTCTGCGGTCTCTGCATCTTCTTCCGCCGGTCGCGCCACTGGCGCCGCGTGGGCAGCCCGTCCATGTGAGTTGCTTGTAATGTAGAGTCGACTCGTGCGGCGCGAACGAATCAATACAACTAGGGCGCCCTTTCTGGCCCCCCATACACACAAAACCCCACCTGGAAAATAAGCTCGCTTTTCTTCCTCCTGCTGCCCGCCCTCAGGTCTGACTCGCGGGATCCGCAGGGAGTGCTGGCGTCGGCGACGGTGCCGATATCGTTGGCAGGGGCCGTGGCGCCCACCGACGTCAAGATCCGCATCGACCCTGCGGCGCTCGCCGCCAGTCGCGGGTTCGCGGTGGGCGACTCGTCGGAGGGCGACCTGCTCATCCGCATCGAGGTCATCCGCGCCGCCACCGGCGACTTCGCGCCGTCCAACATCATCGGCAAGGGCGGCTTCGGTACCGTCTATAAGGTCTGTGCCTGATTCAGTTCTGTCATTTCAGTTCCGCCTGTCTAAAGCGAGCTCTTTTCTGCGGATAAGCAGCATTGCTGAGCTGTCTCGTTCCGCACGCACAAGCACGCAACCATGCAACTCCGTGCTCATTGCTGTGTGTGACGTGTGGCGTGTGTTCTGTGTGGGTTGTGTGCGGCACGTGGTGTGGTGCGGTGTGCGTGGCGTGCAGGGCGAGTTGGAGGACGGCACCAAGGTGGCGGTGAAGCGCATGGAGCTGGGTCACCTCTCCACCAAGGGCCTCTCCGAGTTCCAGGTAACCCGCCGCACGCCCCGCCGCGATCTCCTCTCGCGCATCACCACCCCTGCACTTCCACCCCGGTTCTCCCAGTGCATTGTTCTACCGTGTTTTCGTCATGAATGCTTGCAACCGTGCTCTAATCCATTAAAGATTAACATGCGCATGCGTGACGGGACGGTGGCGGTGCGTGTGCGTGCAGGCGGAGATCGGCGTGCTGACGAAGTTGCGGCACCGCCATCTGGTGGCGCTGCTGGGCTACGTCGTGGACGGCTACGAGCGCCTGCTCGTCTACGAGTACATGCCCAAGGTCCCTACATCTTCCCTTCCGCTCCCCTCCTGCTTCCCTCCGCCGCCCTCCTTCTATCCCGTCGCCCTTCTGCATCTCTAGCTATCGTGTCATTTTGCACAACCACCGAATCCTCCCCAACCCGCCTGCCTCTCTTCATCCCCCTTCCCCGTGTTCCCTCTGCTGCCGCCCGCAGGGACCGCTGAGCCGGCACCTGTTCGACCACCAGCGCCTGGGGCTGCGGCCGCTGGACTGGCGCACGCGCGTGTCCGTGGCGCTGGACGTGGCGCGCGGGCTGGAGTACCTGCACGGGCTGGCGCGCGCGTCGTTCATCCACCGCGACATGAAGCCGAGCAACGTGCTGCTGGACGACTCGTACCGCGCCAAGGTCTCGGACTTCGGCCTCGTCAAGCAGCAGCAGCTCGGCGGCATCGACGGCTACCAGCCTTCCATCGAAACCCGCCTCGCTGGCACTTTCGGCTACCTCGCGCCTGAATATGCAGGTATGGCGTGTGCAATGCGGGGTTTCGTGGGAGGGAGGAAGGTGGCCTCGTTGCTGGGCCTTATGCGACGCATCAGCCTACCGCGTGGACTGCCCTAAACCACCCCGTTCCCCTTCACGTCTCTCCCCCTCGGTGCGTGCAGTGACGGGCAAGGTGACGACCAAGTCGGACGTGTACAGCTACGGCGTGGTGCTCATGGAGCTCGTCACGGGCCGACGCGCGCTCGACTCGAGCCAGTCCGAGGACACGGTGCACCTCGCCACGTGGCTGCCGCCTCACATCCCCGACCGCCAAAAGCTCGCTCTCGTACGCACTCACTCCCGCCCAATCCTTTCCTACTGGTTCCATGCTCCTTCCTGCGACCTCGTTCCTTCCCCTCGCCTTGTTTCTCCCCCTTATCCTGTGCTCCTGTCAACGCCCATCCCCCCCTCTCCCCGCAGGTGGTGGATCCGACGCTGGCAGCGGAGTCACCAACGGTGGTGGGCGGGGAGGCGGGCAGCGGGGTGACGGTGTTCGAGTCCATCTGCGCCATGGCGGACCTCGCGCTGCACTGTACCGCCAGGGACCCCAAGCGACGCCCCACCATGAGCGACGTTGTTGCTGCGCTTGTGCCCCTCGTGCAGCAGTGGAAACCCCAGGCGAGCCCCCCTCCCCCCTTGCCAGCAGCCCTGCATGAATTGCGAAATTGCCTCGAGCACAGCTTGTGCTCACTTGACTTGCTCCTCTCATTTGCTCCTCCACATCATCATACTTGTCTAAACCCCAAGCCCTTGCAAACCGTGACTCCCAAATGTGTGTGCGCGTACAGGATCCATTGGAGGACCAGACGGGCGGCATCGACATGGCAATCAGCCTGGCGGACGCGCTGCAGCAGTGGAAGGAGATGGGCGAGGGTGATGAGCTGCCCGGCGCCTACAACCCTGACGACAGCTTCTGCGCTGACTGCAGCCCCAGCTTTGATGGGCTGGGCGCTGTTGCTGCCCCAGGGGCGTGCGCCAACGGGTGCTGCAAGGGCAAAAAGGCAACAGGCGAGGAGGGTGAGACGTCTGCGGGTGACAAGGCAGGGGAGAAGCTGGGTGCAGGGGCCAAGGACGTGGGTGCGTTTGTGAGTGGTGACCTGGATGAGGCAGCGACACTGGGTGCTGGCAGTGGCAAGGGAGGCAAGGTGGTGCTGGTGGAGTATGGCGGCAAGCAGCCCAGTGCAGGAGAGGCAGTGGCCACTGCAGCCAAGCTGGGTGAGGTGCTCAACGGGCTGTCGGCACCAGACATGACTCTGGAGGAGCAGTATGCAGTGGACGGCTCTCCAGGCAGGGCAGACCTCAGTGTGGCCAGCATTCCCACCTTTGTGCCGGGGGCAGCTGTGGTTTCTGCCAGGTAGGAAGTGCTGTGCTAATCTGCGACAGACTCTAGACAGCTTAGTGACCCAAGACCAGGTAGGGTGGGTTCTTGTAGTCTATCAGCTGAAGCCATGCTTTTTTCGGTAGGCGTTTGATTTGCGTTAGGGCTGGGGGTGGCGGCTGCAATAAGATGCTGAATGGGCAGCAGGCAGGCATGGGAGTCACAAGACCACCAACTGCAGCGTAAGGCCTGTTTTTGGTGGGCTGTTATGAAGGTGTTGGACTTCAATGGGTAGGATTGCTTGAAAGCATGTAAGCGTTTAATTTGACTAGTGAATATTTATGTATCTACTGCAATTAGTAAAATTTACCTCAGACTTCTGATGCTTCCAAAATTAGTCAATTTCCCTATTATTTATGTAAAGCATGTTTTACTCAGGTATCAGACGTACACTTCAGCGAAAGTCAAGCGCGTCGTGGTGTTCCATCAACCCGTCGCAATCCCCAATGTGGCTCCTCGTCCGTTACCCCAACGCACATCGCGTTTCGACGCCAATGGGATTGACTGCAGTCCCATCTGATGTGACACTCGTTGTCCAACCAACGGGCTGTCTCCTTGTCGGGCGGGGCGGGCGCAACTAGCACTGCAATTGACTTGCAGCAGCGCCCACTGCAAGTATAAAGGCGCGAAACTGCACGCACCATGACACGCTAAGACCCTGGGCCGTGGTGGAGTACGGTGCACAGCTGCAGGCGGCGGGGCAGCTGGGGTACGCGCTGGACGCCATACGATGGGGCACCGACTACTTCCTCAAGGCCAACACGGGCCCCACGGAGCTGTGGGGACAGGTGCGGGAAGGGGGGTGCTGCTGTCATTTGAGGCCTTCCTGTGAACGCTTAAAGCGTGGGGTGTTGGTGAGCTGCCAGTACTGTGATGCTGGCACTTCGAGTAGTATCCCTGCTCATTCCGTGGTGTACCACGTGAAGCACACAGGTCGAATGTGAGCCTGAAAGCCTCACCCCTGTGTGCGGGCTCCACGCGGGCCGTGGCAGGTGGGTGACGGCAACTCGGACCATGCATGCTGGCAACGGCCTGAGGACATGACAACGGACCGCACGGCGTACAAGATCGATGCTCAGCACCCCGGCTCCGACCTCGCGGGCGAGACTGCTGCTGCGCTCGCTGCAGCGTCCATCGCCTTCAGGGGCCGCAACAGCTCCTATGCCAACACACTCCAGACACGCGCGCGCCAGGTAATCGGGCACACTTTCCAATGCGCCCATGCACCGGGTCTGCAATTACTGCTGAGGTTGCAGCGCTTGCTATATGGCAAGTTGGCAGTACGGGAGGAGTCGGAACTGGAGCATGTACTAACCTTGCAGATTTCTCTGTCTCCCTGTCATGGCTGTGCTGTTGTTCAGCTATTCGTGTTTGCAGACGAGTACCGTGGTGTGTACAGTGACGCCATCCCCAGTGCGCAGAACTTCTACCGCTCGTTCAGCGGCTTCCAGGTAAGCTCACCGTGAACAAACCCGTTCTCACCTCTTCATATTGGATGTATCATGCGTCGGAGAGTCGCCTCAGTTCCCGACAGCCCAACTGCTCGCACCATTTCAAATCCCACATATTTCTTGACTCCTGTGTGCTGCGCTCCCCGGCAGGACGAGCTGCTGTGGGCGGCAGCGTGGCTGTACCGGGCGACGGGTGATGAGGCGTACCTGCAGTACATACAGCGCAACGACGCTCAGCTGGGCGGCAGCACACAGCAGCTGAGCGAGTTCAGCTGGGACAACAAGTACGCGGGGGCGCAACTGCTGCTCACCGAGGTCAGCCACCCCTGCACTCACGCCCCCCTCGCTCTCCACATCATTCGCCACAACGCCATGCATTTCTGGCTCCTGCGCTATTTTTTTTTTTTTTTTTTTCCATTTCGATCGTGCTTGAGCTGACTGAATTCCTCCCTCAATCCCCGCCCTCCATCTCTCTGCCTGTTGTTGCCCCAGCTGCTGCTGACCGGTCGCATCCCCTCGAGCTCGTCAGACCTGTTCAACCACTACCGCCGTAATGCTGAGTTCTACGTCTGCAGCAACATGCCCGACAACCCACTCTCCCACACTCCCCGCACCCCAGGTAAAGCAGCAATCTAATTCACGCTCCCAAGAGCCATGCTTACATGGCTGCTTCAACTTGTTCCCCTCCATCAATCCATCTAACACTCTCAGCAACAAACCTCGAGCAATCTTCCCATCTCTTTACCAACCTTCCTCCCTCCTACGCCCTCCTCCCACCGGAAACCTCCTCACGGCAGGGGGGCATCTGTACATCCCAGGGCGCGCGGTGAACAACCAGTACGTGACCAACATGGCGTTCCTCACCACCGTGCTCGCTGACACACTGCAGCGCGCGGGGCAGAACCTGCAGTGCGCCTCCACCACCTTCACACCGCAGCAGCTCCTCACCGAGGCCAGGCGCCAGGTGGGTTGCTGCGTGGGTGTGTGGGCGCGTGGGGTGAAAGCACATGCCGCAGTGAGAAGGAGAGAACAACTCCGAGGTTCCTCACCCGTTTGCATCCAGTTCTTTGCTCACCCTTCACTTCAAGCTCACAAGCCCAGGTTCATAAGAGCAATCTCCTCCCATCCCACACACCCACCATGTGTGCCTTGTGCCTCGTGATTCCTGACCCCACAGGTGGAGTACATCCTGGGGCGCAACCCCCAGGGCCTGTCCTACATGGTGGGTTTCTCCTCCTCCTTCCCCCAGCGCATCCACCACCGCGGCGCCTCCATCCCCTCCATCTTCGTCGCCCCGCAGCAGATCGGGTGCTCCGAGGGCTTCCGCTACCTCACCGCCTCCTCCCCCAACCCCAATGTGCATGTTGGCGCCATTGTCGGCGGTCCCAGAGACGGGGTGAGTGCAGTGTAACAGGCTTGGCATAAAGGTGCTCTTGCCCACTCTCTACGGCCTCTCACAAGTCTGCTGTGTGCTGGTGTGGTTGGTGTGTGTGCGTGTGACCTGCTGGCAGAGTGATGCATACGCTGATGACCGCACTGACTACAGCACGGCAGAGCCCGCCACATACATCAACCCAGGCATGGTTGGTGCTCTCGCTCGCATCGTTGGGGGCGGCTCTTCATCAGGCCAGCCTCCTTCCACCCCTCCTCCTCGTTCCTCCTCCACCCCTCCTCCTCGTTCCTCCTCCCCCCCTCCTAGTTCCTCCTCCTCCCCACCTCCTCCTCGTTCCTCCTCCTCTCCTCCTCCATCCTCCCCCCCTCCTCCTCGTTCCTCTTCCTCCCCTCCTCCTCCTTCAACCACCCCCTCCCCACCATCACCATCATCGCCAGCCACACCCAGCCCTCCCTCCGCAGGTGATGTGCTGTACTTCAAGCTGAAGCTCATACACCTTTGTGCCTTTCTTGAACCAAGCCCTGTCCTCACGTTTCGCTAACATATAAGTTGTTTCGTCGTGATTGGAACCTTTCCCACCATTCATCCCACAGCTATCATCGCCACTTGTGTCGTGGAGAACGCATGGAAGGACAATGGTGTTCCCAAGGAGCTATGGCAGTGCACCATTCGCAACGCACATTCCAGGACTGTGAACAACATCGCCCTCCGCTGCTCAAGCTACGAGCCCATCACTTCCTGGAACCTTGATAGCAACTGTCGCCTGCCTGACTGGGCTGCCAACCTGTCGCCTGGCGGAATTGCTACATTTGGCTTCATCCAGTGCGCTGGGTTAGCTCCTTGTATCGACGTCGTTGGCTATGCATCTGCATAGTGATGTAGCACACTTGGTGACCCATGAATAGCTCTTGTTGCACATTGTTCATGTATATAGTGGTTGTTTAATGAAATCAAGAATTTCAGCACAAAATTTTGTGACAGAAAAGAGCTGTAACAACAGCCATGTAAAGTATTACCTGTTTCATGAAATGCGACCTGGTTTTCTAGAGTTTCGCAAAAGCGAAGCGGGAATCGACCCGAGCTCAACACTCAGCTATCCTTCGGTTTCTCAGAGAAGGCGTCACCTCGACGCACGCTCTCGATTAACTGGAGTCCTCGCTCCATGCTGCGCGCATGCCATGGCGGAGTACGAGTGTCCCTTCGAAATGTTATCTCAAATGTTCGAAGCTATCTCTCGCGTAAAACGCGGTAAAGGCGGCGCCAGCCGTAAGGCGCAGCACGTGCAGAACTTTTTCGACATATGCTATGTGCATGCAGCCCGTAAGCACGCGGAGCGCCTCGCCACGGGCTCCGAGGGAGATCTTAACGGTTCTGCTAGCGCTCGCGGTAACGGTGCGGGGGAAGGGGTCGGAGCTGGGGAAACGGCGGGCGGGGAGGGCGGGGGAGTGGGGGACAGCCTTTTCGCAGGGCTGCGGCTGATGACGCCGAGCCTGGACCGCGAGCGCGGCTCGTATGGCGTGCGCGAGGCGGCGCTGGGTCGCTGCGTGGCGGAGGCCATTGGGCTGGCGCGTGGCTCGGACGAGGCGCGGCTGCTGGAGGACTGGCAGAAGGGCGGGCGGGGCCACGTGGGCGAGAACGCTGGCGACTTCGTGAAAGTCGCGATGGAGGTGAGCGCGCGGAGCAGAGAGACGCTGGTGGGAAGAAAGTGAGTTTAAGTGCGTCTGGTCTGGGATGCAGCCGCTGCATGCCGTGGTCATGGCGCCTAGGGATTCCCGCGCCCTGCTCTGGTGCACATGGCGTTGTTGCCTCAGCGAGGTGCTGGGACAGCAGTGCAGCTGCATGGCATACACACAAGCACATTCTAAGGGGCCTTCACGCTTGGCTTGCCTGATCTATTTCCTGCCTCCGCCCCACTCCCGCCTTCCCTCCCCCCCCCTCCTTCTCGCCTCACGTCGGGGCTTCTCCCCCTCCTCACCGCCGGCGCGCGTGTGGGGAGCGCGAGTGCAGGTGCTGAAGAAGCGGCAGCAGGAATTGCGAGGCGACCTGACGATCGCAGGTGTGAACGCACTGCTGGACGACCTCGCTGCTGCCGGCCCCAGGTCATGCCGCCCCCTCGCCCCGCCCACTTCGCCTCCGCTCCCACGCCCTCGCCCTCCCCTTCCACTGCACATTCCTTCCCTCCCCTCCAACCCCCAGCTCCAACCCCCCCCCTTTCCCCCTTTCTCCCTTTTCTTCCTGGTGCTTCCCTCCCCCCTCCCAGCCACTGCCCAGTGCTTGCGCTCTCGGTTTCGGTTTCCCTCTCAGCTTACTTGTTGCTCTCACCTCCTCACTGCCCTCGTCGCCACCTGCTACTGTGTCACTCTAAAAATGTGTGTGTGCCGGGGAGGGAGTGAGTGTGTGTGTGTGTGCGCGCACGCGCGTGTGTGTGTGGGGAACGGAGGGGGGAGGGGGGGTGTTGCGTGCATGCGTGGGTGGGGAGGGAGGGGCATGTGAGTGTGAGTGTGCATGCGTGGCGAGTGCGGGGAGCAGGGAGGCGAAGGTGGCAGTGGTGGACCGCATGAGGAACGCCACCAACCCCACACAAATCAAGTGGATCCTCCTCATCATCCTGCAAGGTGCTCCTCCCACCCACGCTCCCATGCACGCACGCGCACACCCACCCACCCACCCATCACTGTTCTCACATGTGCTTCCTTGCAAACATGCTTGCAGCCTGCTTCCCACCCCGGCATGACCCACCCCACTCACGTGCTCCCCAACTCCCCCACCACCACCTGTGCACCACCCAACGCCTCACTCACCCCCTCCCTCCCATCCTCAATCCCTCGCCCTCTTCGTCCCTCGGTGCGCTCTCCATCGACCTGTGGCACGGGCGTCCCTGGCAGGGCTGCACTTCGGCATGAGTGACAAGTCGGTGCTGCGCGCGTTCCACCCCGACGCCGAGGAGGTCTTCAACCACACCTGCGACCTGCGCCGCCTCTGCCACTCCCTGCCCTCCCGCTCCGTCCGCGCCAAGCGCCAGGTGCGGGGTGGGGGGGAGATGGGGAGGAGGAGGTAGAGAAGACGAGGAGTTGGGTGTGAGCTTACGAGGTTTGGCTTGGGAATTGGGGGAAAGAAAAGGAACGGGATTGGGATGAACGGTGGTGGTTGGGAAGGGGTGTGGGTGTCTCGGGGGGGATGGTCAATGGAAGATGGAAAGAGGAACAGTGTTTGCATGTATGACGGTGTGTTTTTTGCTCACCCGATTGTGCACATGTGCTGTCATCTGGACATTGCGTTTCGTGGCATGGCATGCCATGCCATGGTGTGGCATGATGATATGACATGCGATGTGATGTGATGGCATGTGGGCGGATCAGGACATAGAGCCAGGGAGTGCAGTGCGCCCACAGCTGGCCAGGCGAGTGGACACGGCGGAAGCTGCCTGGAGCCTGGTGAGCCCTCCTACCCCTCTCCGCCCGCCCTACCTCTTGCCCTCTGCCATCCCCTGCATTGTTCATGGGACCATCTCACAACTATGATTCACCTAGCGCCCTTATTTCTGTTGCTTTTCCGCATTGGCCCCTTGCCCTCGTACCTCCTGTGCCCTGTTGCACTGCTCGCACTCTCATACTCCTGCATGGCATGGCATGCCATGGCATGTTATGTGCCGGCATGGCTCAAGAGGAGGCACTCACAGCCCGGGCTGATGGGTTGGCTTTGCTGATGGTGCATGCATGCTTGCACAAATTCATGGATCGAGGGGTGCATGCATGGATGCATGAACACATGGGCGCATGAATGCATGGGTGCGAGCAGATGAAGGGCAAGGAGGTGGTGGTGGAGTGCAAGTTTGATGGCGACCGCGTGCAGATCCATAAGAATGGCACCGCCATTAACTTCTTCTCGAGGTCCGTGCATGCATGTGCATGTGCATGTGCATGTGCATGTGGTCCGTGGACATGCATGCAGACATGCGTGTGTGTTCGTCCACGTGTCACTGTTTGTGCACATGTATTGTGGTGCATGTGGATGCATGCACATGCCATGCATGCCATGAGGGGAACACCTCTGTCAAGCAGTTGAAGTCTCTCCGAGCACATGGCCCTGCATGCATGCGTCAACGCCACATGTTGTGCCCTGCGCCTCCAATGTGGTACTGCCTTGCCATGGCGTGGCATGGGATGGCATGCCATGCCGTGGCATGGCTTGGTGTGGCATGGCATGGCATGGTATGGCATGGCATGGCATGGCATTGCATGGGATGGCATGGGATGGCATGGCATGGTGGCAGGAACTTCAAGGAGCATCCGGAGTTTCTTTCTGGCATGGAGGATCTGGTCATCGAGAACATTCTCACAGACAAGTCAGCCCCGCTCCCATGCCCCTATGCTCCCATCCTCCCATCGTCCCGTGTTCCCCGGTCCACTGTTTTCACTTTATTAAGTACTGTGCGTATCACGCCCTCTCTCTTTTTTTCCCACTACAGCTGTGCCTTTTGGCCTCTGTGCTGCGTTATGGCTCGCGTGGCGTGGCATGGCATGGCATGGCATGGCATGGCATGGCATGGCATGGCACAACAGGTGTATATTGGACGGGGAGATGCTGGCATGGGATCGAAAGAACAACAGATTCGTGGAGTTCGGATCCAATCAAACAGCAGGTGCACCCGTCGTGCCCACCCAGTGCCTCCTTGCACGTCTGCTCCACGCTACTACATCGCCTCATCTCGCACTGCCCATCACCGTGCTGCTGTGCCTGCACCCACCCATTCTCTGCCTGCCCTCTCCCCTTGCGCCTCCCTTCCTCTCTACTTGCCATCCTCCACTATCTCTCTGTGCGCGGCCCCGTGTGTGCAGCAAAGGAGGCGCGAGAGGGCAGCAACAGTGACATCCAGGTGCCACATTCACATGCCTCATACCACATTCACATGCCTCATACCACATTCACCTGCCTCATACCACATTCACATGCCTCTTTACCACATGCAAGGCCTTCATGCCTGAGTTGCCTGTGTATGCCATGTGAGCCTGTGTTCCTCGTTGCTCTCCTGCCCCCCCCGTAAGCCCTTACTGCCCCACACATTAACCCTTGTGCTTCCTTCCTTCTGGTACCTCAAACGCCGCTCTTTTACTTAACTGAAGTGTGTAAGTATCTCCCCTTATCTTTCTCCCTCTGCGCCCCTGCTCCACTCCCTCTTCTCATGCGTTTCGTGCTCCTTTGCCGTGCACGCGTCTCTGTCATCGTCTGTTGCGCTGCCACTCCCACGCATCTCAGCTATGCTGTGAGTGCCAGTGCACGTCTCATGCACGGCACCGTTGTGCATGCGCATGTTGCTTCAATCAACATCTTCCGCATCGCTCATCATGCGTATGTCCTTGCATCTCCTTGCGCTTCCACGACCCCCCTTGCAACCCACATACATCACCCCGTCATAGACTCTCACACCGTGCGTTTCTGTCGCTTCCCATTCTATCAGTACTCCATATTGTCGCCTGCTCATCTCCTCCCGTGTCCATCCGTGTGCGCCCTTCCCCCCCCTGGCAGACGTGGCGTTTGACATTCTCTACCATAGGGACGGCAGTGTGATCCACTATCCACTCAAGCGCCGCCACGAGCTGCTCAGGGAGGTCGTGCGCTTCAAGCCACACCGCTTCGAGCTGCTGCTGCCGCCTGACCCCCGCTCCTCCAACATCTCCCCACGCGCTCCTGGTGCCTCCTCGTCCTCCATTCGCCCTTCTCCCCCCCTCTCCTGTCCCTTGTCTCTCCCACCTATTAGACCCTTCTGTCCTCCTCACTTTCTCCTGTTCCTCGCCCTTCCCTTTTTCCCCACTCTCGCATCTATCTCTATTCGCTAACCCTGTAACCATCCTTCACCTTCACTGCTTGCGCATCCTCCTCTCACCAGTCTGACTTGTATCTTTTCTTCTTCCCTTCTCCCCATGCGCCCACATGCCCCATGTGCTTCCCCTCGCGGCCATCATGGGTGGGAGCACAGGCGAGCCCAACTGGTCACAGTATGCACACAGTGCAGCAGACATCCAAGCCTTCTTCGTGCAGACTGTTGACAACAGGCACGCTTCACAAACACCCTGCCCGCTGCTCCGTCTCTGCCTTGCTTGTCACTACATCACCGCCCGAATCATTGCATACCACCGCTGTGCACAGCATCTATACCTTGCCCATTCCATTCATGCCACTTCTTACTCCATCCGCCCCCTGCAGATGCCTCTCTTCTCCCCCTCCCTTTCTTCTCCACAACGACGTGTTCCATTCTCCTCTCCCCTTCCCTCTCTTCCTACCTCGCCCACTACCACATCCCTCCCTCTCTTGCGGCGGCACCCTGCGCATGAGCCGTGCAGGGACGAGGGCGTGGTGGTGAAGGACCTACAGTCGCCATGGGAGGCGGGCGACCGCTCCTCCAAGTGGCTCAAGCTCAAGCCCGACTACATGGATACCGGCGCTGACATCGACGCCCTCGTCATGGGTATTGCCCCTCACATGCATGCATGCATGATGCATACCCTGTGCAGTTTCACTGCACAGGCCTGTATGCGATCCGCATTACGGAGTGTGCGATGGTGTGCCATGGTTCTTCCAAGCGACTCCTGCCTGCACTCTCCACTTGGGTGACATGCCCCTCGCCTCCCACTTTCGTGATGACATGCCATCCAACTCTATCTTCCCACCTCGTCCTCTCATGTTGTGTGTGTGTCGCTCCCCCCCTCTCTTCCTGTCCCACCTAGGCGCCTATTTCGGATCTAATCGCCGCGGAGGAGAGGTGAGCTCCACTTCTTCGCTACACCTTACCATGCCCTCCATGGCCTGCCGTGTCATGCCATGCCCTGCCATGCGATGCAGTAACAGCCAGCGGCGTGTGGCCGCTGCTTCTAGCTCCGTTCGTTTTGTGATACGTTACTTCCCCTTTATTCCTCTCCTGTGTCGCACTATCCGCTCCTGTCATCCATCACGCCTCCCACCATCACCTCCCTCCCATCACGGCCCCCAGTTATCTCAGTTCCTGCTCGGCCTGTGGGAGCACCCCCCAGACCCGGACCAGCCTCCTCCACGGTACGTGTGCGCTGGCCCTTGCCACGCGCACACCGCGACTGCTCTTTAGAGGAATGCCTACTCTTCAGGGCTCCCCCTTTCACTTCTTTCCATCTTTTGTTCCGCTATACTTGCCTCTCACTGCTCTCTGCATCTACCCCCATGTCCGCCGTGCTCCCGTGCCCCAGCCTAATGTCGTTCTGCCGGGTGGGCGGAGGTATGTCGGATGATGACCTGGTGGACCTCAGGGAGCGACTGCTGCCCGTGCTGCAGTGCGTGCCTCGCCTCTCTGCTGCCACTCCGCTGCTCTCCTCTCACACCCTCCTTGCTCTGCATCACACACAAACACGAACACTCGCGTTCTGCTCAACCGTCCCATTCGTGTCTCAGTTCGTTCTTCTCACCATTCACTTCCCCCACCACCATGCAAACCTGGACCGCCGTTCCTTCCCCTCTCTGTCTCTTCTCTTCCCACAAGCCAGGCTCAACGAGAGAGGCCAGCCCCCTTCGAAGCTGTACGCAGTGACCAACCATGCCAAGGAGCGCCCAGACGTCTGGGTCTCTGACCCCACCAGGTGCGGGATTTAGTGCGGTTTTGCACGGTACGCTACTAACCGCCAGATTTATGTATGTGCAGCAGCATGTGGACGCGAGAGGTCGTGGCATGGAGATGCATTGCGGCATAGCATGCCATGGATAAGACTCTGCATCCCTCCCTCTGCCTCGCTCCTGTCTCTCCCCCCTGTCCTCCTTGCACGCATGTGTGACTCAGGTCTGTGGTGTTGCAGATTCGCGGTGACATCCGAGTCATACGGACCGAGGTGAGGAGAGATTGGTGCCGTACCACCTGCCACGTGCTCTTCACCTGCACCGCTCTCACTTCCTGCCCCTTTGTTTTCAAACTTACATCATCAGTTTCCTTGCAACCAGACCAGACCCATTGAGCCATTCATAGAATGCATACCTTCCCATTTCCATCATGCCCTATCTCCTACTTTATTCCATTGTACCTCGGTCGGGATACCCCGGATCTCTACTTCTCCGCATTCCCTTTCCTCGCATCCTCCCGCCCCCCCTCCCACCCTCGCAGGTGTTTCAAGCGCCTCGCTCGCTGCGCTTCCCCCGTGTCACTCGCGTGCGCCATGACAAGCTCTGGTGGGACTCGCTCGACCTGCCAGGTCAGCAGGGGGCAGGGGAGAAGGGAGGAGAAAGGGGGGGGCGGGATGGTGCGGAGAGTGTGGGGAGGGAAGAATCGAGGGAAGGGTGGGAAGAATTGAGGGAAGGGTGGGAACAGGGCTGTGTGGGAGGATGAGAATTGAGTTATTGATGGAGTAGGGGGACACAACCACAGAGTGGTGCATGACCGTCTATCACAGCCTCTTGTCTTATGCAACACGCCTCCATTTCCCTGCCGTCCTCCTTCTCTGTGCCCGTGTGTGCTGTGTCCCCACCCACCAGAGTGGCAGCGCATTGTGCAGGAGAGGGAGGAGCAGCGCAGCCGCGCCCTCAAGGACCGAGAGGCTGCCAAAGGCGCAGGGGGAAAGGGGCGGGGGCGAGGAAAAGGCAAGGGCAAGGGGGCGAGGAGGAAGAGGGCGGTGGAGGTACCAGCATTTATGAAGCCTGGGGGAGGGGCTGCAGGGCAGGCTGTGGGGCAGAGCGGCTCAGCTGAGCTCTTCTTCTCCGGTTGCACTTTCTGTAAGACCGCCTGCCTCCCCTGCCGTGCCTCTATGTTCACCTGCGCAGTGTCCTCACTCCCCAATTCCTGCTCTTCCTGCTCTTCCTGCTTCCTGCTGGTCCTGCTGTTCCTAGTGTCATCTCCAGTCTCGCTCGCAGGTCCTTTCTCCCCCATGTCCCACACGCCCCTTCATGGGTGCCTGCCAAGTCACTGTCCTGCATTGTCCCTCCTTCCCCCGTGCTTCCCACGCCCCCCATGCAACCCATGTGGGGCAGACGTGGTGTCGGCCCCCCCGGGCATGCAGCAGAGCACAGTGCAGCAGGTGGTGAGGCATGGGGGAGTGGTGTCGGCAAATCTCAGCCGCACTGTGACCCACACAGTCGCACATTCAGCATCAGGGGGTGAGTGAGGCACGATGTGAGTAAGGGTGAATGAGATGCTGCACGGCCGGTTGGTAGGGAGGGGTAGAGGCGCACTGTGCATGTGACGGTGGTTGACATGTGTGAGCGCACACACACAGCACGTGGGCCCCTGAGAACAATGCAATCACAGCTCTCCGCAACCCACAGATGTTCCGTGCATGGGCGCTTGCTTGCTTGCCTAGTGTGCAGTGTGTTTGCCTATTTATAAATATTACTAAAAAAATTTACAGCACAGCACGTGCACCCACTTTCTGCTGCACCCCTACCGACTCTTCTCCATGCTATGGGATGCATGTCCACACAGGTTTTCGTCTCAAGGCGGCTGTGAATGCAGGAGATGTGCTCACATACGAGTGGTTGAAAGAGTGCCTGCAAGCCCGCAAGCTCATTCCACCCAAGTCCAAGTGAGCTTCTTCTCCCTCCCATCCCTGCTGCACCCACCCGTTTGTCTGCCTCCCGCCCACACATCCCTCTTCTCAATCCAGCCGCATACCATTGCGACCGATCCCACCTCTCCACCCACTGATCTGCATGCTCCCATTCTTTTGTCCCACAAATCTCCTCGCCCTCAGCAGGCACTATGTGCACCGATCCCCAAGCACGGTGCAGCGGCAGCAGCAGCAGATGGACAAGTATGGGGACTCGTACACAGACGACATTGCCGACGCCGTGGAGCTCAAGCAGGTCTCGTCTCATTGCTTGCTGTCTGTTCATTCCCCTCCCAGCCAGCTCTCAGCTGCAGAGCATGTGCAACTACACCCTATGACTTGCATACTTGCACCCATGGCATGCATGCTGTTCAGCTCGTGCATACTCCTTGCACCCATGACATGTAACGGCTCCCTGCCATCATAACTATCTTCTCTCCGCTTTCGTGGTGCCTAGGTGTGGCGTTTCGTCACTACCTACAATCACATCTAATCTCACCCCGCCACCACAATTCGTCTATCTGTGCCGCCATGCAGCTCTTTGCGAAAGTGTCCGAGGCAGCAGTCAAAGCAGTACCGAGTGGTGACTTGGCGGTGCAGCGGCGCAAGCTGTGTGTTGAGTCGGGTGCCGTGCACACTTGCATCTTCCAGGGGGTCGTGCTCTTTGTGCTGCCGTGCCTTCCTGCCCTGCACCACCAGCACTCATGGTAACACGCCTACTGCTCACAATACCACAGCCCTATTTTGTTTTTTTTCTCCCCCCGCCTCGTCACCTCGAACGCTTTCCCATTGCATGTTCCTCATATGCCCATCGTATGCTCGTTGTATGCTCGCATTTCAAACAAACCTCTCCGGGACATTCATTCCTGTCATCCGTCCTCTGTCCGCACATCCCCTCCGTGTTTCGGTCCTTCCACTCCTCGCATCACTCACCTCCCTTATCGCTGTGTGCATGTGGGCAGGGCGGAGTGGCAGCATGTGAGTGAGGTGATGGCAGGGCGCAGGGCAGCACTGGAGGTAGCCATGGGGGGAGGCACTGTGGAGACGAGGCTCTCAACGCATGTCATGCACCTGCTGCTGCCCTCGTGCCTCGCATTCATTCAGCACGCAGATGTGGAGGCTACCGTGAGGCAGTATGAAGAAAGGTAAGCAGTTGCAGTTCCTGTTCCAACAGTGCCTGTGTCCTGTCCCTGGTCGCAAGCAGCAAAGCACACATTCGTCACCCCTGGTGCCTACGCCCCAACCCTACGCACCCATCTCCCCTCACCCCACCCCACCCCACCCCAACCCCCCTTTCCCTGCTCGCCCAGCCTCACAGCATGGCAGCTGGCTCTTGTCTCGCGCTCCTTATCAGTGCATGCCCAGTCCAAGCCTGTACCACCGCTGCCACCAACACAAGGAGAAGCAGCAGCAGCAGCATTGCCACACCCCCGTGTCTCTGCCCAGCAGCATCCGGCACATGTGCCACGGATTGTCACAGTTGCATGTGTGGAGAAGCGGCTAGAGGGGCAGGGGGAGGAGGGGCCTTGGGAGGGTTTTGGAGGGCCCAGGTGAGCCGTGACGACTCCTACTGGCAATGCAGCTTTCTTTTGCTCTCCCTCTCCCCTTGCTCCATCACCACTGCTTCTTTTCCAACCACACCTAGCCCCCTCCCCTCCCCCTCCCCCCACCTCCCCTTTTCTCAATCCCCTGTTCTCTCTCGCTCCCACACACCCGTAATCGCTCCTTCCTTCTTCCCTACCCTTTGCTTCCCTCAGTCATCCATGCTTATGGTATCCTCTTTTGCTCCACCACTTTCCTGCAGCTGTCCAGCTTTCCTGGAATCCTCTGACAGCGATGGGGAGGAGACTGGGAAGGACGAGGATGAGGGGAGCAGCACTGACTCAGATGGCACTGGTGATGCTGGCGCTCCTGCCGAAGCTGATGCTGATGGTAGTGATGGTAGTGGGGAGGAGGAAGAGGAGGAGGAAGAGACGACGGACGATGAGGGGGATGGGTCGGTGGTAGGAGGGGTGCAAGAGCCGAGGTGGGAAGGAGTTGGTGCAGCAACACAGCAGTTGGAAGACGAGATGAGTGTGTGTGAGAAGAGCATGGGCACCACAGATAATGGTATATCTGGGGTAAGTGGAATGCAGACTCATGCACATGTGACACCAGCCAGGAATGTGAGTGAACCAGGCACAAGTGGGGTGGCTGAGGCACCTTCGAGTGAGTGCAAGGAACAAGAGCAGCACGCGAGCAAGCGATTGTGCGGGGAGGAAATGCATGGTGTTTCGGAGTTGATCGAAGTGCTAGGAGATACAGATCAGGGCAGCAGGGGGGTGAGAGATGAGTGGAAGGAGGGAAGCCTAGAGAAGATGGGGAAGGATGTGATGGAAATGAGTGGAAAGGGGGAGAGTGAGGAAGCAGGGAACAGAGGTGATGCTGAGAATGGGTCAGGGAAGGTCGAGGAGCAAAAAACTAGAGAAGTCGATTCAGAGAAGGTTGACGTAGATGACAAGATGAACGAGTTGTTCGATTTCTTCTTTAGTTAGAGCTGAATTTGCTTGTCCTGTGTAAATCTGATGTTCTGAAACACAACGGAACGCTTTGTCCTCACCTTGCCTCCACTCTACCCAGGGCCTCAGATTGGTTCTGGGCTGGGCTGAAAGATCAGAGTTGGTACAAAATTTTATGCTGAAAATCAGACAAATCAGCCACTGTATGCCATTTAATACTACTTATATAATAGAAAATCCAGTTTCTTTCCATAAAATTGCTGAAATATCAGCCTCAGTTCTAAAAAAAGTCTGGAATCTCAGCCTTTTTTACGGTACCTAAATCAGCCCTTTTTCGCTGACTTCTGAGGCCCTGACTCTACCTAATTGCGCCCAGTACATCAGGGCTGCTCCACCTGAGGCAGGTGCCAACCAACCAAGCTCAAACCCTGATTGATTAGTTAGGGTATCGTTGACTTTCCGTCAGTGTATCAGTATTCATACCATAACATATTTGGATCTCTTACATTAAGATTATTCACAGCTAGGCGCAACACCTCTGCAGAACGTATAGTGCATACATACTACCATTCTGAACCACTACAAGTGGAGGGTAAGGTCCAGGCTTGGAACGTCCTCTCTGCATTCCACCTTAAGGGCCCGCGCTTCCGTTTTCGCAAAACCCCCAAAGCTGTGGGAAAGGTTGTCATGGCTTGAAGACGGTTTTTGCTGAGAAACGCGAGTCTTTTCGGCAGAGCAGGACGAGTCGTCATGCTGGTTGGATGGTGAAGCCCTAAGGGATTCGACAGGAGCGGCAGCGACTCTCGTGCCGCTCGCAGAGAAGCGTGAACGTCGGCGGCAAGGGACGGAGAAGTAGGAGCAATTCCACGAGCAGCAGGCTTTGGGCAAGACGAAAGTTTCAGACGCCTCCACGCGGTCACAGGAACTCTCAGCAACGGATTTGCGATTGCATGAGGGGCTCTCAAGCGGTTGAGAGTGGGACGACGCGGCGGAACTCGATGCAGGCATAGGCCGCTCGGCGGAGGGCGTTTCGCGAGGCGACGATGCTTGTCTCGAATTGCCGCAAGGGCGCTTCGCTGAGCGAGGGCCACAAACCGCAAGAGCCCCACCATTGCCTGAGACGCTGCTGCTGTCAGTGCTTATGCAGTCTATGATAGCACGTTTGACGCCGGCCCTTCCTTTCATGGTTGTCGGATGCTGTAGGGTGGTTTGATCACTTTGATGGAACGGTAGTTGCGGTTGAAGAAGAGCAAGCATGGCTTTTTGCACTGCAAAACATTCGGAGAGCTGATTCTGAGAGTCGGCCGAGAAAGCCGCCGGGGAGAAGCGGAGCTGGCTAGCGGAAAACATTCTAGACTTCAATGATGGGACTAGGCAGGCGAGATTAGTTCGAGGAAATCAAAAGTTGATGATTCAAAAAATGGGTGTGGTGCCTAAAATACTGCTCTGTTGATCTAATGGTGGAGAGTCTGCTGTTACTGCTGGAGGATGACAGTGGGAGGGAAGCTGGCCGCCGGAGCCTGGAATGGCGCAAACGTAATCGAATCATCACCAGGCTGGCTCCGAACCGAACTTTCAGAGTACATCGAATCGGAGGTTGATGGGTGCACCGAAATGTTGCGCATGCATAACAAAGATCGTGATGAGATTTGTTTCCGAGATTCTGATCTGCAAAATAAACCCCCACACAGCCCATACCCGCGTCGCAAAGGCAGCACACCTTCGTTGGGACGGGACACCGGGGCCTGATTAATTTAGGGAGAAGATTGGGCAGGGGAGTGGGGATCCTGGGGTGTTTGGGGGTTTGGGGTTGTGAAGGGTGGATGGAACGCTAATCGGCAATTAGCGTCATCTCTGTGCAAAACTTCCTTCGGCTTTGGCAGTTTGCGACAAATCTCTCTTGGGGTTAAAGGCGATGAGATCAGTGCCAACCATTTCTTGTGACAAGAGGTTGTGGTGTGGTGTGGTGTGGTGTGGTGTGTGTGGTGTTTCCAGTTTGGACTCCGGATTTGGTTGCAGCAATTGCACACCCTCCCCCCTGCATCGCCTCATCGGATTCGGACTTCTTGCAGCAAGCAGGCGGGGCGGCTAATCCTATCACGAGATTTTCAGCAGTATTTGAGGCAGATGGTAATTTAGGATGCATTTGAGGCAGACCGCGCCTTAAAACCAGGGTGCACATTCAACGCGGTTCGGCTTGAGATGTTGGGAAGGGGGTTTGGAGAAAAACAGTGATTGGCTCACGAGGGGCGACAAAAAAATGATTCCGCTAGAGCTTCGGGCATTTCGTAGGTGGCGGGAGGGGGTGAAATGGCGGGAGTGGGTGAAACCGAATGGCGGGAGGGATGAAACAGATTGGCGGGAGGGGGGGGAAACGAAATTGCGGGGGAGGGGGGAAACAAAATTGCGGGGGAGGGGGGAAACGAATTTCGACGGGGAGGGGGAAATGAAATTGCGGGGGCGTGGGGAAACGAAATTGCGGGGGAGGGGGGAAACGAATTTCGACTTGAAGGGGTTGAAAGCACACCTCGTAACCCACTCAGTCAAGGGATAACCTTTGATGCACATTCAGCTGAATGTGCACCCCGGTTTTAAACCTGAAAATCTGGGCTGAATCTGAAGAAAGCCCAATACTCCGTTCTAACCACCCTAGCGAATGTTCTCACAAGAACAGCACAAAATCTTCGTGAGATGCTTACCAAACGTAGAGGCTAGCCTTTTCACCTTTCCGCGAGTCAGGACTCTATACCACCAAGTGTCCACGTTTTTTAAACCGCGCCCTCCCGTTCTGTGCTCTAGTTCAAAATCCATGATTTTCAATATTTAAACTACTCAGAGTAACGCTGTCAGAGTAGAATCTGGCAAAACACATCCCGCATATCAAGATACGACTGAGGCTGCTCATACTTCACTACACCGGACTACTTTTACCGTGACCTCAAATATTGGAAAAGGCAGAAACCTGAAAGGCACTCAAAATTTCCCCCAGCCACCACCAAACACCCCACAGGAACGATCCGGCTATATATGGAGTGATACTTGAAGACGCTGTTATTTTCACCATTTTTATCATAGATTCAAATATTTTATTCTTATTTTATTCTATATTATATATGTAATAATTGAATTGTTATATACATCTTTGCATTAAATTTAAAATGTATATTTTGGCATATTAAACAAATATTATGGATAAAATTACTACTTATTTATAATCATAGTGTATATCAGATTGATAATCTATCAATATTATATAGATATAATAAATCACACCTCTTATGTTATTTTAGAATTAATTATTTTTCATAATTAAAAATAAGTATTTTGGTTATATCACATAACTTGTATTAGTTTGGATAAAATTAGTTTTCATGTTATATCCCTTAATTATTTTGGTTCTAGAAAAAAACACAAACGAATGAGCCCACTTGTGCATACATTTTAATAAATATTTTTGCAAAAAAACTTCATAAAATATCGTTTATACCAATTTATTAAGTATAATACTAATATATATGCCTTTAAATAAAAATTATCTAGTGTTATGTTGCTCATATTAAAATCATATAAAAGTCTATACTAAATTTATAAACCTGTTGTGCATGTATGTCTTGACCCTAATCGGCAATCGTTGTTACAAAATCAACGCATTAGAGTTGTTGGACAGAACCAAATTATAAAATTTTAGAAATATGTGCGATCTTGAATAATATGCTGTATATTCTTCTACAATATATAGATTTAGTGGAAAATAAAATAAATTTGTCCGAACTCTAGGTCTGAATGTGAATTACTTAAAAAAAAAGCTATTATGATTTAAAAAATATCTGGTATGAATTATCTCATAGGTGGAACAAATGTCAGTTTCTTTATTGCATGTATTGGGCATCATTAATCAAACGATTCATTTTCTATGTGAGATTAATCCAGTCAAGTTGCTTCAATCAACATGGTTTCTATAATATAGCATATGAATGTATTTGTAGGTTTATCTATCGCAGTGTCATCTGTTCCTAACTCAAGATATGCAAGCGTGGCAAATTTTACACTGCGAGTGTTATCGTGGCGCCTCGTGTTTTGCAGAATTAGTTAAGAAATTGTTCGCAATCTCCCCGTATCACTCACATTCTCTGACTGTCAGGCGAGAAGGATTTTTTTTTTATCCTCGCTTGATGAGCATGTCTAGACCTTTTCGTATGAATACACCTAATGTGGGCCTTCAAGCAGTGGGATGTGAGGAGAATGAACAAGTTATGACCTTACGCAGTTTTTAGTTTTGGCAAAGCGATTGTTATGCATCAGCTGTAGACGTGCATAAGGCAGGTCTACATCACATGTTTCGGACATCGAATCCAATCATCATTGCTGCGCTGGATATTCAGGCATGCAAAAAGTGATGTGATGACTCCATCCACCCGCCTTCACCAAATCCAACTTGCATGAAGTTGCTGCTGCGCTGCAATCTCATCCAAGGTCCACTTTCGATATGTACAGCACAGTGTACAGAAGAGTGGACAGCCCAGAACTGATCCCCCCTTGTGTCTTCACGAGTACAACCGGTTCTCACTACGAGAACACCAGGTAACCTGGAGGAATCGGACTGAAACGTGTTTTGGCGTTTCGTCAACCTTTCCCAATTCGCCACGGGCAAACATGGGACTGTAAATGGAAAGTGAGAATGCTTTAGTGACTCGGTCAACATTTATTATGACTTATGTGGACGAAAACCCTTGTTGTATATGCACTGTAAATATCGGCTTCATCAATTTGGTGACTATAACCCCTTAGACAGTGCCCGAAAAAACGTTCGTGACTAAGTAAAATTCCGATTGTGCTAAGCAATTTTCTTTCGCGATAAGGGTGAGCTGTGTCCGAATGTTATATTGCTTACTTTGTGTAGGTTATAGTGGGGTAGCCCATAAGGGGTACAACCCAATTAGGGTTAGTACTCGTACCCAACTCTTTCATAGTTAATTCATTCTCGTTCGTTCTTCTGACATGGTTTCAGAGCAGGTCCTTCGCTAGGACCATTTTTT